TCTTACCCTTAGTGTGAGGTTGTGTAGACTTGGCGAATTATGATGGCAAACAGCAAACACTTGGATGAAGAGATGACCTCTCTCACTGGTGGTGGTGTGGAGAGGTCCACATGTTGTCATTGTATCTCGCTCACTGGTAGTGTGGAGGATCACACCTGGTGCAGCACTACCTCTCCCACTGGTGGTGGTGTGAAGAGATAAACAGTGACTGTGATCTCGGGTAGTGTTTCCACTGACCACAGCACTGGTCAACATTACAGTATATTAATTAATTTTTTAATTGAAGTTGTCATGGGATGATCATGATCCCTTACGCTGTTTTCTTGTTGGTATTCTGCTGGTGGAGGAGTTTGAAAGGGTCAACTTGATGACCCAAGCATTTACAGTACAGAGTGCCAACGGGCACATCTTTATCCCATTGTGGTCAAAACGTGTGTGTGTAAGATTTGTGTATCTGTTGTTTCTTATGTGCTGAACAGTAAACCTATGGTAGCGAGACTCCTTGATGATGTCATGGCTGCAATGTTGGTCTGCTCACTCATTGCCACAGACACTTACTTAACATTGTGGATGGTAGTGGAATGTCTTGTAGGTTGAGCTGAATGCTTGAAGAGGAATGGGGTGGCCAGTAAGAAGTCTGCAGCATGAGGGGCACTCAACTGCACAGAAACCCTCTCCACTTGCTTTCTTTGTGCACTACTGCACTCGCTACCATCACTTTTGCATTTATTTTGAGACATACTAAGGGCAGCACACCTAGTTAGAATGCACAATGCTTTCTGAGTGATGAAAAACTGTGGACAGCTTAAGTACTTAGGTGATACTGGGAGCCCCACAAACAAGTGGTGCCATATTGTCTAGGTTCATTGGCTAGCCAGGCTGAGTCACCCTGCCACTAACTTCACTTAAAATTGTAGTAATGATTCAACAAGTGCGCTAGCCTGGCTAGCTGCTTAACCATTGACAAAATATGACTAGCCTCATTAAAACAAATAGAAATTTGTTGAGCGGAAATGCACATCCTTAAACCACCAACTTCCTATAAATTAAATTCTCGTCTAGCGTTACTTTCTGTGCTGTATATACTGTACGTATATGACAAAATCATTTTGCTGTAATATTGTTTACATCATTGTAAGCAGCCACACAATGTCTTCATCATAATCTGTTGGCTAGAAAATTTTTCAAAATATAGTAAAGTTGAATACAATCATACTCTGGAAGTAAATTCATCACATACTGTATAACCTTGTCCTAAGACCTTGCTTATATTGACTTTCACCATCTTTTCTGATTTTTTAAAAACCTTACAAGTTTGTCTAAATTTGTTAATTATATGCTTGAAAAAAGAAACTATACTGTATATATATATGCAAGTAAATCACTGTAGGTGCGCGTGATCTAGGTATATGCTGATAACCACAAGGAAAGAAGAAAACACGAAGTTCCCAAGCGCTTTCGTGTAATTCACATCTTCATGGGTGAGTACAGTCTGTACTCACCCCTGAAGATGTGAATTACACGAAAGCACTTGGGAACTTCGTGTTTTCTTCTTTCCTTGTGGTTATCAGCATATATATATATATATATATATATATATATATATATATATATATATATATATATATATATATATATATATATATATATATATATATATATATATATATATATATATATATATATATTATTTTTATAAGTTAATGTCTGGCCAAAGTGACTCGAGTACATATCCCACCAAAGTCAGCAGGTTAAGAGTACAGGGCACTATGACCATAACAGCTGGGAACTAATATACTGATAAGTTTTTACCTTACCATTGCAACCATAACCCTTAAAAAGGGGTATTAGAAGTAACAGCTACCACAGAAAGATGAAGACTTACGAGGTATGGTGTCAGATCAGCAGTGCCTTTCACTTCATCCTTCATATTCTGTCATAACTTCCACTGCAAGGTCAGGTGATCGAGGTGGCCATGGAACAGGGCCGTCCTATCCACCTGCCAGGATACCCATCATTTAGAAATTCTGTTGTTACTCAACCAAAATAAGCTGGGGTACCATCATGCTTGCACCATAGTTGTTGACATATCCTGATGGGTACATCCTACAGCATCACTGGCAAAGTGTCCTCAAGAAAATGAGCGTATGTTTCACCTGTCAGTTGCTGGCATAACAGATATGGGCCAATAAAGTGGTCACCAATGATGCCGGCCCAAACATTGATTGTGAATCGTACTTGACGAGATGTACGTGTCACTGTATGTGGATTGTCAACAGACCCACTTAAACTGTTTCCACTTACTTTAAATAGGGCTTGATATTTTGTTTTATGTCCATAAACTTGTTGCAGTCCTCCCGTACCCAAAACTATAGAGTACTGTATTGACATTATGGTCATGGAGTCATTTATCCTTATGTGTCTCAGGAGTCCACCTCCCAAATTGTGAAATATATTTCTGAAAACCATGTACAGTACAGTATTTTGTGTTTACAAGATCCCGTTTGAAGAATTAGATCTGAAGTTATGAGTAGTTCTTTTCATCTGAGCTGAGTTAAGATCATGGTGCAGGTTGGGTGTACATTACTTGCTTTGGTAATACACTGTCTAATTGAACGTAAGGTTTCTTTATGCTTCAGATTTGTTTTGGGCTTAGAGTTGAGGAATCTGCTCTACTTCACAGGGAAGGTTAAAAGCACTTCACACATCAATGACACTCTGGGTGTCTTGAGAGGGAAAGAACTACCTACCATTAGGAACAACCTAGTTGCCCACAAACTAAGTTTCAACTTCATTTTCATCATCACCATTTTATTGCCACTCTCTATGCTTGCTTGGTTTAGCCAGTACTACCCGATGGCAATTCTCCAAGTTGTATGGTCTTTTACAACCTCTCACACCAGTGCTTATTGTTTAGGTCATTTCATACAACCTCTCCCCCCCAAGTCATTCTTGGCCTAACCCTAGTACTCCTCCCCTCCACGTTCAAATATCATGCACCTCTTGATCCAGTTGGTCTTCTCCATTCTCTCTTTGTGCCAAAAACTACCTCAGCCCGCTTCTACACAAAACCTTACCAATACTCTCAATATCTTGCTTGTGAAAGGTTTTACATTGTAATTTTACCAGTGAGTATGATTTTTATCACCTTAGAATGACCCCATTAGATCATTCTTTCTCTTTGCATTGATAGACTATTTCATATCACTTTTAGGGTCACCAGATTTCTTAGTAAGTCAGTGGACCAGAGGAGAACACGGTGGTGTGTTTATCTTTTCTTATTGTAACATATCCTAGAAAAAGTATAAAAATATGTCTGTCTCTATATCCTCCTTGTTGATTGAAGGGGGAGGGAGCAGAGCCAGATGTTTCTATAAAAGGTTGTCAGCTAGACTTGATCCCAGAGTCCCTTAATCCTCATTGTTCTTGACAACCTTGTACTGGGAGTTTGTCTGTCTCACGTTCCAAACTTGGTGATCAAATCCCTTGGAGTTTTAAGCCTTTTTTTTTTTTTTTTTTGTATTTGCTATCTGTATGATTGACTGCTTATGGATTCATCTCAGGCAAAGTTGCTCACATTTTTCGTAGACATATTTCTTTGTAAATCAAAAGTCTAGGTTGACTCTTATGTCAGAATTCTCAGTAGCTTGGCCTCCAGTAGATGATGAGATGAATTGGTATTCCTATTGAGAAAGTTTAGTTTTCCTTTTAGAATTTACATCTGTCTTATCAAAGGGGGAAGTGTCTCACAGACTTTACAGGAAGGTTATAGGAAAGGTAGTTTTACCTAATCCAGTGGTGGTGATTGGTAATTATGAGACAGAATCAGTTTTAATGTGAGGTTCAGAAACAAAATTGTTCCTTTCCCTGTAAAGTAAGGATTGGCATTAAAGTGTTGGAGGAACAGAAGGTTGCTGTCTTCAGCATTTCCTTTGACTCCAGCTCTATAACAGATGAACCTAAATGTAATAAAATTATAGTCCCTTTATTCTTCCTTTGAAATGTGGAAGATAAATACTGAACTCACGTTCTGTAGCAACATGTCCACATTAGCATGTATCAAAAAGCAAAGTTGTGAAATTTTCAAAGTGTTCCTACTCATGTCAGAGCTGTCATGTTCAGTCATAGCTATGCATTTTGTTGGGGCATTGAATATTGAAATAGATGATTTGTCAAGAATAAGCTGTTGCCATACAAATGGATTTTACTTGAAGAATCTTTCTCTGGGTATTCATCCTTTGGAAGGTTTCTTTACAAAATTGTGTAATTGCCAGCTATCTTTTTTTACTTCATCTATTCCTCCAGAAGGTTCCATGGGGTGGATGTTTTCTCCTTGGATTAGAATGTGTGAGTCATAAATGAAATAAGGATCGTGAAATCTTGTTTTCTGACCAAGCTTTGATTAACTAATTTGATCCCTTTCTAATCCCCTGAGGTCTGCTAAAAATAAGATGGGTTGGACCTGCAGTGGAAGTCACGACAGTCTGAATGATGAAGACAAATTACCATTCAGCTCCCAGCTGAATAAAATTGTCTGGTGTTAGCCAAATAAAATATTAAAAATTGCGTCCCATAGTGAAGAGGTTAAGGGCTATAAGTATAACAAGAAGGTAAAACTAATTGAAGGATGAATTCACAGTCATCAAGGTCAGGGTATCCTAGGTCTTCATCCCATAGACTTTGGTGGTGGTATTATTTGTCTCTCTTTGTCCAGCTTTATCCATAAAATGGTATTTCATGATCAATCCTCTTTTTTTTTGTGAGAATATAGTTGTAAACAGTATCCATAACAAATAAATAATCATTGATTAGCCTCTTAAAATCATTGATCCTCTTGGTTGAATTTCTTCAGTTATCCAATTTTTCTAACCTTTCAGGAAATAAGAACTTCCTTCCAACATTTAGTTGTTTTTTGGGGTTAATATATATATTAAAAAGCAATATTTGTCAAAAGTTTCCATATTTATATGTAATACAGTTTAGTACATTTATTTTTCCAGCTGTGGCTGTCACTGTGTGGGAGAGAAGAGATGCCAGTAAGTTGACCATGACATTTGTTAGTTGTGTTTTAGTCACACTACAGAGAATGCGATTTGATTCTGATTCATTTGCATTTCTCAAGTGCCACTTAAACTTTCACTTTTCATAATTAATATTTTATTTGTGAAAATTAACCAAAATCTTTTCCACTCACACACTTCACTTTATTTCAGTTCTCCCACAAATTGGGTAAGGGTGTTTAACACATCCTGTAATGTGTGACCATTTTAGTTGGCTGTTATGTGTCAGTTGCACCTTAAAAAAAGGCTGCATTGTAAAAAATCAAATACAGTATTTAATGTTTAAAACCAGTAGTTCCTTGCCACACTACGGTGAATCTGAAACCAGTCTGCATTTATCATGAAATACACTTATTATGGTCAGTTAGAAAGTGCATATAAATATAGTCAGACCCATTAGAGAGCCACACACATGTATGATACACTTGGGTTTGACATTAAAAAAATACCCTGCAAATTCTTCACTGATGTACAGGTCGACCTCACAGATAGGGAGTTGTTTGGTATCCCATGACAGTAACATATAAGTCCACTGCATCCCCTCAAGGACTGGCCCTGACTGACGCATGACACTGCATATATTAGCACTGATGACTGATGCTTCTGTGTATAGTACCAGCTACAGATTGACTCTAATCATGCTGGCAGGTGAAGTCAGCATGCCTCATCAGTCTCTGTGATAACCTGCCCATCTGACACAACACAGCTGTGCCCAAGAAGGCTCAAGCAGTGGGTTCCCGACAGCATTTTGGCCCTGGGCAACTTCCCTTTTTAATATTACTGTGAGCAGGTGATCACAGTATCATGCTTCAGTGTGCTTTATTACTGCATACAGATTATAACAACTTTGTGATTCATTGTACTTTAAAACAACATTGTAATTCAATTTCAGGGATATAACAAACTGGCAACCATGTTCACAAATCTTGAGTCTTAGAAGTAAACGACAGTTCAGCTCATTTTTCCTTTGTGTATTCAAGTTTTTATATTCTATATCACAGCAATTTGTCAGTTTAGTCAGCTGTCATACCCATAGTTGGTTAATATTTCCGTTTTTTAAGATAGCACTGACCGTCCATGGATTTCAACCCTACAAAAGTGTTATATTTTTATTTACCAAGACCCTAAATTTTTACTGGAAATTTATCCTAAAGGCTTGGCTTACACACAGTTACATTGGTCTTCGAAGGCAGGTCTCAGTCTCATTCTTATTGATCTTAACTTCGGTACATCACTGGTGTACAAAGTTACAATATCTAAATAATGTAATGGTTTAGTTTGTTTCAGCATGTTACAGTAACTTGTGGATGTTTTCTTGCATAGCTTCATATGTTCTGTTAGACTTTCAGAAGATTTACCTGAATTATATATAATTATAGAATTTCCTTCACTTGATTTATACTGCTGTTTCATTTGTCAGGTTTGGCACCCACCAACTCCGCCTCGAGATGACAATGATGTGTACATTGACCACTCCCTTGGCTTCTGGTATGACTCAAGTACGATGCCTGAATCTGCTCTGCCTCCTGTCTACATCAAGAAGGAGCACAAAAGACTTAAATTAGAACCAGGTACTGTTGGTAAGTCTTGTTAAATATATGAAATAAGAGCCATTTCTCCACCTGTGGTTAAAAGTTAGAAATTGGAGATGTTGTTTTGTGGCTGACATTTGTTACAAAGTATCTGTCTCTGAATCCCTAGGGTTATGTGATTTATAGGCAGCTGTAAATATCAAAGACTGTTCACTCATTTTCTTGCATTTTAAAGGTGCCTCAGGCGATGGAACTTGTGGGTTACGTCGACCTCAGAAACTTCGCCGTGAAGATGCCGTGTGTGCTCCTCGCTCTCTCTTTGATCGACCTTCACCAGCTGTTGTAAAAATACGCCGAGATCTTAAACTACAGAAGTACAGGGGCATTATCAGGCCTAGTATCCCACTTCCAGGTTTGAAGCCAGCTGTGTTGACCAAACCTCCAGCTGCAGAACCTGAGAACACTCCAGAATGGGCAGTACATGAGGACTGGGGTGTTGTACAGGCTGTGCAGCACCACCTACAGTTGGAGCTGCCTGTTAATTTACTTGTATTGTCTCCCGGTCACACTGCAAATTGGGATCTTGTAGCCGATTTAGTAAATTCTGTGTCCCGGTGCTACCGTTCACCTCGTCACTGCAGGAGCCGGTACGAGAGCACCATTCTTCCTCGTGAGGAGGGAAAGCTGCCACCAGATACACCTCCTAAGAAGATATCAAAGAAACAAAAATCTGGACTTCTTTCAAAGCCTTTACATGTATGTACCATGGGAAACTCTTGTACTTCAATTTTCATCCAATAAAGTAATGGGCAGCCATGCCTATGGGACCCACTTTCACAGTAATGTGTTGAAAGATGATCCACTTGTTTTAAAAATATATTTTTAAAGGTCACTGATGTGTAGTGCTGTTGAGGGTTAGAATTCTTTTTAGAGTATATTACCATCATTTCTGGAGTAAGTTGCATATAAGCTGTTGTAATATTAATTTGAAATTGGTCTCTTGTGGATCTCTTAAAATCTTGAAAGTAACCATCTTTTCAAATTAAAATAACAGCTCTTCCTTTTTTTATTTTTTCTATTATTCTTATGTTCATTAATTCACTCGATGTTAAAAAATATAATTATTTTTACAGAAAAGTTCACGTCCAATGAGAACCTCACAATTGTTTGCTCAGGATAACAACAGCAGTTTCTCCTCACTATACTGCACTCGATTTGAGACGATTAAAAACATAGCCATCAAGCGCACCCCAACGACTAAACCGCCATTGGTAAACCCAACCCACAAAAACCCCAAACATGCCCAGGTACTTGCAGAATCAGGTATCCAGTATGATGGCCCTCTTAACCCAGGCCAAGTCGCTGCAAATCTTGCAGAACGTATTCAGCGAGCAAAGCAAAAATCTCAGGCTGACCTTGCTCAACAACAACAACAAAAATTACTTCAACAACAGCAGCTTCAGTTGCAACAGCAACAGCAGCAGCAGCAACAACAACAACAGATACAACAGGCTCAGCTTACTGCAAATCAGTTGCAGCAACAGTTACAACAGCAACAACCCCAACAAAGTCAGGTACAACAGCAGACTGGCCAGCAACAGGTGCAACAACAAGGTCAACAGCAAATCCAACAACAGGTTTCAGTTGTGGGTAACACCAGCGGTCAACAAGTAGTCAGTAGTGGCCTTTCTGGGAAAGTAGCCACCTCAGTGGTACTTAGCCAGGGAACAGCGATGACTGTTGCCACTGTTACTGCTGCTACAATCACCACTACTGCTACTACATCTTCAACAACTGCAGCCATCTTAGGTGGTGTCCGTACTGCTGCAGGGGCTGGCAACACTGGCCGTACCACTCTAGCCCTTCAAGAGCTCCAGGTTCGCACATCAGGGAGTAATCAGAGCACAGTTGTGAGTGTTGCAGCCGGTCTAGCCCAACTTCATGCTGCTAAACTCACAGCAACACTCTCATCACAATCATCACAGAAAGGTAACAAACATGTATATATGTATATCATTCATATATTTTCATTAATGTCAACACTGTAATTAAGATATATATTAATGGTTGCAGTACATCCTCATACAAAGATACATTAAAATATGTTTGAGCAGACATTGATAAGTAACTTAATATATATGTGACTACTAATACAAGATATTTCACATACCTGGTCTATTATGCATAGGTGTAGCTGGAGTTACAAAATCATTGACTCCAGCACAGTTGCAGTACCTGAAGAGTCAAGCCCAAGCCAGGCAAGCCCTGCTACAGCAGCAGCAAGGCAAAGTGGTGGCCACAAGTGACCAGACCATCAAGAGGGTGCAGGTCTGTATACTAGTTGTTCTGTCCAATTACAGTTGTAGTTTTTATTTCTTATCATCATCATCAGATGAGTAAGGTGCTTACTACAAGGTATATTATATATTGTGTAATCCATATCACAAATCCTGTACTGAATTACATGTATTGAGATTAAGTTTAATGAAAAAAATGGAGAAATAATAACACCTGAATGACAACTACATTACAGATAGCAGGGCAGGCAGGAACAACCCAGAAGGTGCAAGTAGCAGTGTCTAGTGGAGCTTTAGCAGCTGTTACAGCAATACAGGTAAAGCTTATTGTGGCTAGTTTTTAATCTGTAGTAAACTCAGTCTCACTCAGATTTCAGCTGGACAAATACTTTAGAAAGCCCAAGAGGAAGAAATAATAAGTTTATCAGAATGACATATAGGAAGCTACTGTTAAGACTGCTTTGATATGACTGAATTTTCCATTTATTGTGTATATTTTAGGTAAGCCAAGCAGGGCGCACACAGCTGATGAAGCCTGGAACTGTCGTAGCTGGAACAAGCGGAATGATGGCCACTGGGAAAGCCGTAACCCGCACAGTGACGGATAGAGAGGTTGCTGCCATTCTTAAGCAGCAACAGCTCAACAAGTCTGCACAAGTGGCTCAGGTATGACTTACATGACCATTTTTTAAGACTACACTACGTACTTCATTTCAAACTTGGTGTGCTGTAATATTTACAGTACAGTGGTTCCTCGGTTAACGAACGGTTCGGTTAACGAATTACCTTCCATAAGAATCTTCAATTCGGTTAACGAACAAAAATTCGATTCACGAAATCCTTACGAACATCACGTTTTGTTGTGAGCATCAGTTGATGAGCTAGTCTGCCAATTCAGTAATCTGTTCTATGTTTACATTCGTTTCTAGTGGAGTAAATATCAAGAAAGTTGTGCTCTTTAATATTTTTGCATTTTTTATATTAAAATTATTAGTCATTTTAACATTTATTTAACATATTGATAATATATGCAGTACAGGGAACTAGTTTTTTGTGCGCCCATCAGCAGCTTGACTCGGCCACAAGGCGTCAGTTGGGTTTTGTTGACAGTGGAGTGGAGCATCTATTTTGTTGGTGTCTAGAATATTTTTGCATTTTTCATTGAAATTATGGGTCATTCTGAACTTAAGCTAACATATTGATGATATATAGCGCAGTGCAGTGTTGATTTAAATAAAATAATCTTGAATTACATCTAGTGAACTTAAAATTTTATTGGTGAAATGACGGCATCAAGCATGGGTCCCCTGAAAGGTGATTTCTCCTCCATCCCCACTTCCTTCTCTTCTCCCTTCTCCTCCACCCCCCATTTCTAATTCCCATCATCATCATCATCAACCAGGAGCCTTCTACTTACACACCTCAAAGTAAGTGTACTTTACTGCATGTTTTTTTTTTTACTTTGTATGTACTTTTCTGTGAGCTGGAACTAATTACCCAATATTCCATTGAAACAATGGATTTGGTTAACAAAATTTTTGGTTAACGAACGACCCTCTGGAATGAATTGTGTTCGTTAACCGAAGGACCACTGTATTGTTCTTTACCAGTGAAACCAGATGAACTCTAGTTTTCTGTTCATCCATTTGTCTGTATTAATGCATGTGCCCCCACTTAATGAACTGTGCATTTGTTCCTGTAAAACACTTACTCAGTATGTTATATGAAACTAATGTGTATGTTATAAAAAGCAAATTTTTTCCATTGAAATGCATGTACAGTACTGTATTTCATGAAGATGCGTTCCTTACCTAAGACTTTTCAGCTTTATAACATAACACAAACATAAAAATTACAGATTAAATTCAAATGATAAATACATTCTTAATGTTGTAGAAACAATAAACAATTAGAGTAATATAACACTTAAACAACCACAGGACCGGGTAGCAGACATCTTCCAGAGTTTACAATAATGTAAATGATGAATTTATAGTTAATATTAAAGCAAGAAAATACCATAAACTGAAGAAACTGATGTAACCATAATTACTGTACCAGTCTTGGAGCTAGTGGGAGCATCATCAGACACCCAGCTGACTCCTCCATATTGTTGCTTATGCTATACAGTGCTGTATTGTGTTTATTTTTGACAAAAAATTATGTTGCATATTTTCCCAAGTATATTATAGTGACGTAACTCAGTGAAAAACAGGAGCAATTGTCAACTGCGTTACAGCAAAACAACATTCTGGGAAGCTACGTTAAGTAAATTTTACCTGTGCTATTCAGATTTATACAAGTGTACCCTATTTAACCTGTATTTGGTTGGATTATGGAATGTTAATGTCACCCCCCTGGTCGGCAGTGTTTTTTTTTTGGGGGGGGGGGCTTAAAAAGTGCAGTTTAGTGTATAAAACCTGAGAATAACATTAATTTGGGCTGTACTGTACTCACCATTTTGCGACTCCTGGGCCATGAGGTAGAGGCAGGAAGCTGTGTTGGGAACTAATATATCATAGTGCCACATAGTCATATTTTCTACTTCTGGATTAATTTATTTATTTACTGTTCTCACATAATTTGATCACTTTTATCACTTATCTATGTCTAATTTATTCATAACAGTGATAAGTGTATCAGTTATAAGTTTATTGTTGCACACTAACATTGTTTACATTATGAAATAGCAATAACACATCATACGACGAATTACTATTCACATGCGCCCAAACCTGCAAACATAAATATTGAATCTTTGTGTTTTGCCAAAGTTTTTTACTTCTACAATAATTATACAGTACAGGTACTCCCCGAATTACGACGGGGTTAGGGACCGACATCCAGGTCGTAAGTCGAAATGGTCGTAAGTCGGAAATGCTTAAATAACACATAGAAAATCGAAAATTTGGGTCTCATTTTCTTCTCAACACCACAAAACACTCACTTTTAAGCTTGCCAGCCATTTTAAAGTGAATTACAGATGAAAATGTTGTCCGTGTACTGACTTTGGGACTCAAGAATACATAATTTAACCACATTTTGGCACGACTGAGGCGGTCGTAAGTGCAGGTGGACATAAGTCGAGTCGGTCTTAAGTCGGGGAGTACTTATATAAGTATTTACATATTTACAAAATTTCTTTTTTCAATTTAGTAGTTTATGATGGCATGATATTGCCAAGGCATCAAGCATGCTGGAACAATCACACTCACTGCAGTAATACCTAGTGTCTTTACTCACTTCTCCACGTAACACTGTGTTCTTGCATTCGTGACAAAGTCTCTGGGCATATTTCTTAGCTTGTGTTGAGGGCAGCAAGCTTAGGAAATGTTGAGGAGAAAGCAGCTGGGTGTGTGTGGGTGTAGTGATGGCAGGGACAGTAAACAAAGCCCTGCACTTCCCCTCATCATCGCCTTGCTTCACTCTCCTTCTCCCTATCACACCTTGCCTAACAGCATCATCTGACTTAGAAGAGGTTTTTGGCGGGACAGAGGTTGCTGAAACAGGTTGATTTGTCTTGAGAGGTTGCCATTTGTCATATTTTAAATACGTATATTAATTCTTCCGGACCATTTCAGACGTTGCGGGAGTTTTATGAAGTCAAATTCGTTGATCTATGTAATAGATTGGTCAGAGAAGGCCACTTACATACATATATCTATAAATTTGACCATGGTGAAATTATGTTGCACAAAACATATTTACCCATTTTAATGCATGAATTAACTGAAGGGATATTCCCAACCGAAGATTTTTTCTGTATGACATAACAAACAAAAAATATTATAGTATTTTGTACGTAGACTGTATTTTACCTGTATGCACAATATGGTAGGAAATTCAAAATTAAAAGATAAAACAAATAAACAATTTAAATAAAAATTAACATGCATATACAGTAGAACGTCGATTTAAAGCGATTCAATTTAAGATTATTGATCTAAAGCGACACCCACAATTAAGGACAATGTTTTAATTTAAAGCGAATCTTTCCTATTTTGCTCGAGTCAATCTTGCGCATCATATTTAAAAATTCACGCCTAATGTTTCTCTGGGCACGCTACACTGTCCTAAGGGCAAAGCTGTACTGTACATGTACTCAAAATAATGTACTAAATGATTACTAAAATTTATGTCTTGTGCAAACTATAGCATGATTATATTCAAATTAATCACTATCTTATATAAGAATTCCAGCAATGTAAATTATATTCTCCCCAGTCACTTCTGTGACATTTTATAAACAAAAACTCAATCTAAAGGACATAAATGAACAAATAAATACTTCACTAAACCCTCAGCACAACTGTCAAACATGTCAGTGTCACCTCCCCCCACATCTTCCCAGCCAGGGTTGGGTGGTTATAGGCTTGCAGTTTTTATCTTATATAATATCACAGACTAAAGTTAGGAGAATATAATTTGCATTGCTAGAATCCTTGCAAGACAGCGAATAATTTTAATATAAATTCATATATTTTGCACGAGATAAAAAATTTAAGCCCTTTGTAATACTGTATAATTAATTAAAATTAAAATTTGTATGTCTAATGCGAACTATAGCATGTATATTTTCAAACTAATCACTATCTTACAAGAATTCCAGCAATGTTAATTATATTCTCCATGTCAGTTCAGTGACATTTTATAAGAGAAAAACTTAAGTCACTCTTAAGGACATAAATAAATAACCACCAGACCTTGGCATCAACTGTCAAACATATCACCTCACCTCCCCCCCCATCTTCCCAGCCAGTAAACAGACCATTTCACATCCCTTAATTTTAGCTGTGTTGATTTATGAGTGTTTGTTTTAACATAATGCTACAAAAAACAATGTTTTGTTTATTCTAGGAGATGGGCTGAGGTGCTTCTGGGTAGACTCTCAGTCTTTTTAGTATTTGTGTTTCTCTCAAGTACCAAACTAAATTATTCCATTGAAACAACACTTCGATTTAGTGCGATTTCAGTTTAAAGCGACCTCTCTTGGACTGTATCTCGTGTTATATCGACGTTCTACTGTACAGTATATATTGTGTTGTATCCACACTGTCCCAAACATGCCATTAGACCAATGGGACCAACTTTCACAGTGATTACAACTCTTATTGGAAATATCACCCTGCCAGTTGACCTCTACCTCTGGGACATTCCTCAGATTGAACCTCTGTTGAAGGAGCCTTATCTAGGGAATACCTCCACCAGGAGCCCTCTTGGAAAGAGTCAAATAATACAGGTATACCTCCACCAAGAGCCCTCTTGGAAAGAGTCAAATAACACAGGTATACCTCCACCAAGAGCCCTCTTGGAAAAGAGTCAGATACCACAGGTATACCATGTCATTAACAGAGTCATTTACCCTGGGTACAGTATGCCACACTATTGATTTAGCCCAAGTATTAATGTATTTCCAGGTATAAGAGTCCTTTGATATTTTGCATGTTATCTTGGCCTTTATCCCTGCCCTTGTGTTCCTCTCATGTACATAACTTCTCATAAACTAAACTTGACTCCACCTGACTACTTGCATTCTTTGATTTTAGTCTTTTAATCCTTTATTTTAATTCGGCATCACATGACCTAAGCTATTGCGTCGCCAGGGATGTAATTACCAATATCAATCAATCAAATGACCTGACCTGACCTGACCCATCATTTACCTAATGCAACACAAGCTTTGCAGTTCATCCATGATAGAGTGTAGACACACAGTGAAATCATATAAAGAAACTAGTGACTGCGGGAAGTTGTCAAGATGGTAGCAAAGCCTTAAGTCCACAGATGCCACAGTGTCAGGGCCTCTTCAACAAAGTTGTAACTGTCTATTAAAATAAATTAAGAATTATATTAATGAATAATAAAAGCAACAGTGTATTAACGGAAAGTTAATTTTTCAAAGAGAAAAATTTGGTTGAATTGGCTTAGGACAAAGAAGATTTAGAATCTTACAGGTATTATAAGAATGTAAGATACCTGAGCATCTGAATCTAACATCAATAACTTGGATTAAGAAAAGAATCAAACCAGTGCTGTGCTGGTCTCAATAAGTTTAACATTACATGCTTAACTAATTCAGTAATATTATGTTGTTGGTCAGGTGCAAGTGCCCTCAGCACAACTCCTGGCAGGCCTTCAGGTGCAGGGTTGCGTGAGCGGAGGAGGCACACCCGTGGCCACACTGGTCAAGACCGTCAGTGCTCCCAGTACTCTGGTTCATACACCAACCTCTGTCACTCTCCCTGTATCAGCTATTAACGTAACACTTCCGCAGGCGAGAGTCACCACTGCAGCAACTGTCGCCAAGGCTGCCACTACCCAGCAGGTTGGTTGCTCAGTCATTCATAAGAGAAGTGCAATAAAATAGAAGTTTATAAACTTAACATTCCTTGCCAGTGAACAGCTGAAAATCATTTAAGCAATATTATTAAAAATAATATGTATAGACAATACAATTATATTTACATCTGCAGTATATGCAGTATTCTATCTAAATTGGCCCCTGTTTCATATGTGCCAGTTTCCCTGTAATTCATTGTGGCTGGTGTACATTCTTTGCAGACGGTACGAAATATTCCTTTACCACAGCAACTCTTAACAAAGCAGAGATCGCTGATGGGGGTTAAAGGTGTTGGACTGCAGCTTGGCAGTAAAACTGTAGGAAGTACTGGACTGAATACAGTGCAAATTGTACAGGGAGGTGGCCAGAAACAGATGTCCCATGTTACAGTACAGCAGATACAGCAGGTGTTGAAGCAGGTACCTCAACAGACCATCCAACATATTACACAGGTGTGTAAAACCACAGAATATCAACTTTTCATTTTTTTTTAATAAAAGTTGAGTGTGTAGCATGGACATAGAATTATATTCATTGGAAAGAGGTACTTCTTTACAGTATAAGGACAGAATTTATAGGCTAGTAATGATTTGAAGGTTGAATAATTTTGGCTCTCAAGGTTTTCAGTGGTAACAGGTGCGAGTTTCATGAAAAGTGTTCTTATAGTATCATACTATAATAACACCTTTCATGAGTTATCACAGATGGATCATGGTTGATAGAACTCACTAATCCCCATGACAGAGACACTTCACCATGATTTGGAGATAGTGGTAGATTGTTGCCAAATCAATTACACTTGCACATTGCAACCATACTTGCAAACTTTCAGATCTAAAAGAAACTGGTGTCCCTTTCATATGTATGATGTTATTAAATATAGAAGAGTCATCGATCCTTTAGTAAAATTACCTCTGTATCACATTTCACACTTCTGCTGTTTTCTGACAAAAAAAGTGTAATTTCAGCACACCATCTCATCAGGTATATGCTACTTCCTCTGTGTCAATTTGGCATATTGGTCCAGCACTCCACACTTGACTTCTGTCTTCCATTTGTTGATTTTGGAGACAGATAAGACGAATAACAGTTTGTAACATAATATTGCATGTACTGTATGAATAGGGTTTTATCTGGTAGTATCTCTACATTACCAGCCATCTAAACCGTCAACAATCACCTCCACCAGCCATATGAACCATGATAATAATACAAGCAAAAACTTGGCCTGAGATATATACATTATACAGTACAGTACTGTACTATTATTCGTATTTCAAAATTGCTAAAATTAAGCTGCATTTTGCGTAAATATTTACTTTTGTCGCTTATCTACTTGTTTCCCTGAATGCCTCATATATAAGCTAATTAATTATTATTCTAAAGTCCATGACACCAAATTAACGGCTACTGACCGGTATCCCGGTCGGCCAGTCCGCCACTGGCCACCCACCCAGAAGTTTCTAAACAGAATATAATAAAATAATGACAAACATTTATACAGTCAACCCTCACTTTACACGGTTAATGTAACCCTCAGGGTACCGCGGAAAGTGAGAAACGCGTAAAGTGAATAACATAACATATGGGATTAAATGAAATAGAGACCAGCTGACCCCCAAACTCCACTTTTTCCAACACAATACCTATGTTCTAGTAAAAATAACATCTTAATTTTATGATGGTACATGCACACAATTAATACTTAAGAGAAATAGAGAAATACAGTCGCCAAGTTAATGTCCATTCAAATAATGGACTCAACTCCCTCCCCCTCTTCTCACACTACACTCCCTGGCTCTTTCCTCTCTGAGAAATTTTGGGGGGAAAACCAGGTATAGTATTAAATAATACCTCAAACTAAAGGTAGGATAATATAATTGACATTGCTGGATTCCTTGTAAGACCAGGAATATTTTGATTATAAATGTCATATATTTTGCACAAAAGATAACATATTTACTCAGAGTAAACATTATATCTAAAATTTGTATGTCTAATGCAAAATCTATGATGTTTATATTCAAAATGATCATCAAATTGTAAGAATTCCAGCAATGTAAATTATATTCTGGCCGGGTAATTTGTATGAATTTTATGAGCTAAAACAAATATCTTCAGTTAATAAAAAAAAAAATATTCTTCACGACACTATCTGTCAATCAAAGTACCCCACCTTGCCTCCCCCCTCTTCCAACCAGATGGTCGGTCCGTCCCAACCCCCCCCCCACCACCAACCCTCCCTTCAAGAGAAAGGTTGGGTGAAAAAACTAGATTTTAACATTTAGTATTAAATAATACCTCAGATTAAAGTTAGGATAATATAATTGACATTGCTGGATTCCTTGTAAAACCAGGAATATTTTGAATATAAATGTCATATATTTTGCACAAAAGATAACATATTTACTCAGAGTAAACATTATATCTAAAATTTGTATGTCTAATGCAAAATATATGATGTTTATATTCAAAATGATCATCAAATTGTAAGAATTCCAGCAATGTAAATTATATTCTGGCCGGGTAATTTGTATGAATTTTATGAGCTAAAACAAATATCTTCAGTTAATAAAAAAAAAAAATATTCTTCACACTGTGCCAGGTGGTCGGTCGCCGGCCCCTCCCTCCCTCCCTCCCACCCCCACCAACCCTCCCTACCAGATAAATGTGTGGGAATACCAGACTGTTTACCTTTTTAGTAATAAATAATAAATCAGACTAAAGTTAGGATAATATAATTGACATTGCTGGATTCCTTGTAAGACCAGGAATATTTTAAATATAAATGTCATATATTTTGCACAAAAGATAACATATTTACTCAGAGTAAACATTATATCTAAAATTTGTATGTCTAATGCAAAATCTATGATGGTTATATTCAAAATGATCATCAAATTGTAAGAATTCCAGCAATGTAAATTATATTCTGGCCGGAGAATTTGTATGAATTTTATGAGCTAAATAAAAAAATTATACTTCACCCGCGTAAAGGGGTACACCCACCGCGGAATGTGAGCATCCTGGGTTCTGGCAGGGCACCGTGTAAACGTGGGACCGGGTAAAGTGAGGGTTGACTGTATATCAAAACTTTCATATATAATCCATATATAATTTTTGTCGACTTTCAACTTTCTCTTTGAAGATAAGCTAATTATACTTTCTCTTTACACCAATACACTCTGCACTATTACATGGATACTTACTGAACACCATTATGAGGGCAGAATACAAGCAGAACCACAGATGTGAGAGAGAAAATCACAGAGCCAACTGTGTGAAACTGAAAATGGTAAACTCATGAAAGAGCAATTCCACTATCTAGAAAACAGAGTGACAAGATTCAGAAACTCAAGTGTCTTTTTGGTTGGAACTTGTGTATGGGCATTTGAATTTTTTATTTTGTTGGATTTTGTGTACGTATTCATATTGGATATCAAGTTTTCTTCTTCGAATAGTTTTTTCCGTCTCCCTTTATCTTGCTGACTTTTTCAATCTTGAACGATTTGCTTTACCTCATGATTATAAATGGGAAATTTAATCCTGAAATCCCATTTTATGGATCAAAAGGGAACAAATGTCTTAAGTCTCCCATCTTCCTCTTGAGATTCCATATTCTGTTGAGATATTAAAGGTGTGAATGCTATATGAAAATACAGTCATGGTCAAAAGTAATCATCCATCTCTCCTACTACCTTACCTGGGAGTTCAAGACCTTTCTACACAACAGGTCACAAGAGGTATTGATGGGAGAGAGCTAGGGGTGGTAGACCTGGTGAGGTAGGGAGGCACAAGTCAAGGGCCATATACTTAGTGAAATTGTATGTGGTCTTAAAATTATCCTTATTACCGGAAGGCGTCAAGGTTGATGGATGTAGTTTGACATTGACAGCCTTAATGACCCTGGCAGTTGATAGGCCTAAATCCCAAACGACCAACCAAAAGGGTGAGTGTCAGGGAGGTGTCATATGGACTTAACTTTTCCCTAAGTTACCTATGCCTTTAGTACTTGAGATTCTGGGGAGTGAGCTTTTGACAGGTAATGTGTCATAAGGCATCTGGCTTCCGTGAGGGAAAGCCCCTGATATGACAACATAATAGAGGAGGGGGCGTGGCATGTTACCTCCGGTAACACTAAACTAGACTGTTATGCTTGATCACTTCTACCTCTCACCACTATCTTTCTTGAAAACAAAAACTAATAAAATACAATATTACTGTAATTTTTTTTTTAATGAAATATTACTTGATCACTTCCACTTCTTGCCACTATCTTTCTTAAAAACAAAACAAAGAATACTAATAGAGGTGATAAAAAAAAAAGAGTGAATTGTTGGATAAAATGTGACTTGTCCATCCTGTAATATAGATATTAGAGTTGTGAAAATCACTGCGAAGTAATGAGGTTGTAGTGGCAATGGTGTTGGCCACTGCTCCACACTCAGCCCAGGATGAAATGTCGATTGGTGAGTCACTGGCAAATTATCGGTTCAGCTGGCTACAACGTGTCAGAAAGTGCAAGGGAGGTTTGGGTCACTGTGAAATGTTGGTTAATCTGCTGGGTGGAACTTGGGAAACCTGCCACAGTGTGTAATGTAAACAAAACATATTTGAACTCTTAATTCATATAAATGATATAATTTTAGGCCGGAGAAACCACAATTGACAGGCAAGGATGGCAGTGGAAGGCTATTGAGATTTTGTATGACCTGTAATTAAATATACGGTAAGTCCTCGCTTAACATCGTGGTTACGTTCCTAAAAATGCGACATTATACAAAACAACGTAAAGCAGATCAATTTTCCCCATAAAAAATATATAAAATACGGGAGTTACGTTCCTGAGCCTCCCTTTACCCCATGAAATACATTACATATACAAAAATTCAATGACATTTTTATAGAAAATAGTATATATATACATATAAAACTAAATCATTTTGTATTGGTACTCACCGATGGGCGGAGGTGGTGAAGCAAGTGTGTGGTGGGTAGTGAAGCGGTGGAGGCGGGAGGGGAGGAGGAGGGCGGGAGCGGAGGAGGGTGGTGAGTCACTGAGACTTGGCGGCTGCCTCCTCCTCCCAAGAGAGCGTAGCGCGGCAAGACGAGAGGGGGTGATGCGCCGTAAAAAGTAGTCCGTGACAACGCAAAAACAATGTTAAATTGAGTCATCGGGACATTATCCAAATTATTGGCATCTAGAGAGAAGCGACGTTGTACCAAACAACGTTAATTGGGGCGACATTATACGAGGACTTACTGTAAATGTGATTTCCAGCCTCATATGCAACATTTCTCCTCATACCATTGTTATTATAAATATCTAATTACCATTGTTTAAAACCTGAGCAAGAACCTGAAATAATGATAAATAAGGAAATGGATGACACATTATAAGTCATAAAATAAGGGTCCTCATCTATTACTCCTTCTAGCATGTGAACCCGAGATAATATAGGGAAAAACAAATTACATCCATCCTTCTCTTCCTTCTTTCTGCTTTCTTCACTCCCCTCCCTCTCTGTTGAGGAACTTACATTGCATACCACCCTTCCACAACCCTCCCCCCTCCCCAAACAAATGGTCCTTCCCCCAAGTCGACCATTCCCCCTCCCCATCCCACATGACTTACTGTGCAGAAAAGACCCATCCAGGCACAGGGGTTAGGTAGTGAAGTGAATTTGCACTCCCTCGAGAGATGTAGAGTGAGGGGCGATATGATAGAGGTATATAAATGAAAGTCAGGGCTAAACAAAGGGGACATTACAATGGTACTCAAACTATCCAACCAGGAGCGAACTCGTAACAATGGTTTTAAATTAGGCAAATTTAGATTTAGGTGCAAAATAGGTAAACATTGGTTTGGAAATAGAGTAGTGGACGAGTGGAACAGGTTACCAAATATCATCATTAACTCGAATAAGCTGGATAGCTTCAAACATAGGTTAGATGGATATATGAGCAATAGGGGTTGGGTGTAAATGGGACTGCCCAGTGTGGGCCAATAGGCTGCAGTTTCCTCCATTCTTATGTTCTTATTGCTTTTGACTGCAACTGTATTTTACCCAAGGTACAATGGTACAGTGACTAATGCTATTAATGACATCCATATCAATGGGTTACACTTTTCTATCAAAATAAAGAGATCCCATTATGGTTGGAAGAATAGTAGAGCTGGCAGCACCATGATGCATTTTCCAAAACATGGGAATGCAACTATTATTAGGACTGATGAAGCTTACCTTATATTTGATGAGCCTTTTTCTCTCCCAATCAGTTGTAATGTGGCATTTCATAATTCATTATCTCAATTTAATGTTCTCAATTAAAACAAAAAATGGAATAGTTTTATACATTAAGCAGGAACACGTGTAACTTGAAAGATACGCTGTTTGATTAATTATTTGTGATGCAATAAAATAATTTAACCACTGTGTGTTTTAAGATTTTTATTAAAACTGCTTTTCTAAGAAATGTAATATATCTGTAGGGTGGCACTGTGAGTGGTACTGTGGTAGGAAAAGCAGTATGTAATACAGTAACAGGCACTAGCGTAACAGCATCAGGCAGCCAAGGCATCAGCACCTCTCACACCACCAAGCTGGTGCCCATGACCATTGCTTCTCACCAACAGCAGCCCATCAAACAAACTATCCAGGTACAGTAACTCATCTACCACTAACCCTTTCTTTTTATTACCTTCCATGAATGTGGACAGGTCTTACAGTGTTAGTTTTATGTGTCCATATGTATACTGTACTGGATGTGAGTTGTTATTTCTCAAATGTTATTAACTGTATAGTCATGAAACTTCACATGTACCTGAACATCTTTACAAATTGTGGCTCGTATTAAACTGACAATGTTTTCAAGCTAAGTGCCATAAATGGTTTCCGTGATTCGTTCCTTGTGCTGATGCGAACTTTTTTGTGTGATCTACTGTACCACAACAACAAAAAACACAAATGTGTGTATGAACAGTATATTTCCCCAAAGAACAATTTTAAGTGAGATCTAGGATCATTGCAGATGGTTTCAGAGCCAAGGGCAGAGAATATTTTTTAGTGAGTGTACATCACTTCTCAGTTATCTTAAAGATGTAGTAAGTGTATGTGTTTGCTTTATCCATTTTGGGGGTTTTATAACACATTTTAGATTAATTAATTTTGTTCAGTTTGACAAAAAAAGAAATATTTTATTCATAAAAGTATGAATACTTTTGAGTAATCATGACTCGGTGGAGTGGCTACACCCAGACCACAAGGGATGTGGCTGCCGCTCCAACTCCAACCCCGTTAGTGTTAAATGATGACTACTGCCAGGACAGTAGGAAACCAGATTGTATAATTATAATGTGATGGATAGAAATTTAACAGTTTGATTTCAAGAGGTTAGATCTGGGCATGGTAAATGAATTGTCATTTGAGCAAATAATATGAACCATTTAATAGATCTGTTCTAGCAAAATTTCTTGCTGAGTTTGGCTATAAACTCATTTGGTAAAACAGTGTAAAAACATAAAACGTGGATACTCAAAACTGCAATTGGTAAACCCATGGTTGGCAAGGTATTATTGTATAGTATTACCTGTATAAATTAGCTGGAGAAACTTTGCATACTGTGAGCAAGTCCTGAATTTGTTCAGTTGTGTGAAACAAAGTTTCACTCAGCTTCACTTACCTTTTGGATATTACTGAAATGCACCTGTTCCTAACATATTTTAGTTTTCTGGGTTTTGATATATGTTAATACGATGGTGGAATAATTACAGTATCTTATTGGGCAGGTAGTTCATAGGTCCAGGATTTGAATCTCCTTTGATGAAGTTAATGGCACCAGGTAGTAACAAAACAACTGATCATAGTAAACTAGCAGAGATGTAGCTATGAGTTTAATTTTTTAATCTATTATTAATATTAAATAGTAAAAATAGTTCAACAGATCCACTTTTCTGTATGGAAATATGAAATATACACTAAATACAGTAAATAGATTTTAACACTCACCAGATATGGCAGAGGAAATAGTTTGAAGAGGCTGCACATACATTTTTAATTTTTCAAAATACATTTGTCCCTTAATTGGGGGCAAAGGTTAAGCAAAACAATGCAATTAAGAACGATGTACTGGTACCAGTAAATAGAGGATTTATTAAACTCAGACCAAAAGAGGATATACCTCATCTTTCTACCTCTGAGTGTAATATGTAATGCCAGGCCTAAATGGCTGATGCCAAATAATCACCGTCAGGAACCACTTTGTAACTAAAGGATATCTTCTAGACCTCGTTAAATTATTTTTTTTTGTCTGAATTGATTAACACTTGGGATGAAAAAAACACACTGAAGAATTTTATATTGTACTGTACAGTATATGATATACCATTACAGGTTGTGTCAGCTGGATCTACAGTGGTTGGCGGAGGATCAGCAATACGAGTAAGTGCTGGGGAGCGCTCCTCACCATCAACTTTAGCTCTCTCAGCTGGAACAGTCAAAGTGACAAACCCTGCTCTTCTGTCTGCAGCCCTTCAAGGCCAACCAATGTCTGTTGCTGTTAGACCTTCCACACAGAGTCCTGTCAGAATACAGACTTCAGCCCTCCAGACCCAGCAAACAACACAAACTCAGCAACAGCAGCAGACGACTCAGCAACAAGGACAACAACAGGGTGGTGTTGGACAGTAACTAAAAATAAAGGATCACATCATATACATCAGTAATATCAGATATCAGCCATTAAAAGCCTTCTGCTATATAGTTAAATTACAGTTGGGTCTTCATTTACGCAGTCAATTGAACCCGCGGAATACCACGTAAAATGAGAAACGTGTAAATGAAATAACAGAACATATGGGATTAATTATTAATTGAAATAGAGACTGGGCCCACCCCCAAACTCCACTTTTTCTGACACAATACGTACGTTGTAGTAAAAATATTATCTTAACTTTATGATGGTATGCACACACACATAATATAGAAGAGAAATATCAATAAGAGAATAATATACTGCACCAGGTAAAAGAAAAATCAAGGTTTAACACTTACGTTAGGTTAGGTTAGAAAAAATCAAGGTTAGGTTAGGTATAGCACTAACATTAGTAGAAGAGATGGGTCGGCATACGTTGATGGGGGCTGGTTCCGAGGCAGAGGGCAGATTACTGGCCCTCAGGTGAATCACTATCACCATCTACCATAGTTGTCAGGGCCTCCCTGACAAATCCCTGAAAGTCTATAGCGTCACTGTCACTGGCTTGGGCTGCCTGTGGTGGGTTGCGGACGAAGAAGTCTGTGATGTTACGCTGACAGCTAGTGTTGATGTTGTCGTGATACATTTGGATGTACGGCTCCATAGTGTGCAACAGCTGGTTATTGAAGACTTCATAGCGGTCATCGTCAGGGTCGTTGGAAAGGATGAGCTTCAGTTTCTCTGCATACTCAATGGCATCCTTAACATTACCATGCGTTAACTTGTGTTCTTCTCTGGATGACGCACCACCTGCCTCTTCACTGACGTCATCGTCTTCTAACATCACGTCGGCAGTCACCTCAGGATCCCTTATCACCTCCATAATGTCGTCGTTGGTGGTCTCGGAGAAGCCTGCAGCTGTAACACAAACACAGCTTCTCTTGCAAGGTCCACTGCCACTGCAACAGACTGAACCTCACCAGTCACAGGTTGATTCTGCCTCCCACCTGGGATACCTTGCAACACATGCCGCCATGCATGACAAATCATTGCCACAGACAGCTGCTCCCATGCCTCCACCAAGAAATCAACAGCTTTCTTTACGTTAAATTTCTTCCAAAATTGTTTGACGCGAACTTCTTGATCCGCCAACTCTTGTTCCTCGTCGTCGCTCAAGTTATCGCTATCGGTGTCACCCAGGTTACGCAACTCATCCTTGGTGTTGGTACAGTCGTTCAGGAGCTTAAACTTCTTTGTAGAGAATGCAGCCTTAACGTTGCATATCAACTCCTGATCCATGGGCTGGATTAACGACATAGTGTTGGGAGGAAGGAAGACCACTTTTACGTTGGGGTGACGACCCAACAGTAGGGGCGAGTGTCCTGGTGCGTTGTCAAGGAGCAAAAAACGTTGAATGGAACATTCTGTTGCTCGCAGAATTTCTTGAAGTCGGGAACGAAACAGTCGTCAAACCAGGAGAGGAACAGAGCAGTGAACATCCACGCCTTATGTGCGGTTAGCCAGTGGACATTTAGCTTGGTCATGTCCATGTTCTTGTAGGCGTGCAGCTTGCGCGCTGTGTGGATCACCGATAACTTGAGTTTACAGGTACCGGAGGCATTGGTGGTAAACAGGACGGTGATGCGCTCCTTCTGCAACTTCCGGCCCCGACACTTGCTGGCAGACTTGATAACGAAGGTCTTGGAAGGTAGCTTTTTCCAAAACAGACCGGATTCATCCATGTTGAACACCTGGTCGTCGGTGTACTGTCCTTCCTTCATAACGTCACGTAAGAATGGAAGAAAATCACTAGCCGCAACACGGTCAGCACTCGCTCCTTCACCACCATCTTGTTCCTCTTCTTAAACCCTTGCAGCCACCCAGACGAAGCATTGAAGGGTTTGGGCTCTGCAATTCCCATCTTACGTGCCACTGCTACATACAGTTCACGTGCGTACTCTTGAACCGACCGCGTGTCCACCGCCATGTTCCGTCTTGCCTGACGAATCAAGTAGCTCACAAGCAAATTCTCCGTCTTGACCAACACCTTGTTCTGGCAGTACTTCACCATTGAAGCACCTGCAGACTTTGTGATGTTCATGTGTTCTTTTATCTTGGCTGCATCCTTCTTGATCATCCTGATCGTAGATTCGTTCACGCCATGCTGGCGCGCCAAATCAACTTGTCTCTTTCCTTTTTCTAAATCTTGTATGATCTTGTAATTAACTTCGTAACTTAGGGCACGTCGTATCTTCTTTGGCTTACAGCGGCTGGGTCCAGGTAATGCAAGGTATTTCTGTGGTGGTGGGAGTCCAGTGGAAGCCATTCTTACGAGATTAGTGGGCACAACATAACACAGTTTACACGGAGTGACTGGGAGGAGAGCAACTGACGCGGCTAGGTCAAGCGGCTTCTTCCCTCCCGTGGCAGGGCACGTCATATTACATTAAACCAATCACAGCTAGCGGGGGAGGGAGGTAAGGATGCGTGGCCCAATCACAGTCCATTACCTCATATGACGTCACCAATAACGCAACACCGACATACTGCGCAACCTTACTCGCGCCGCTTACCCAAGCATGGCGGGAGGTTTGAATCCAAAAATGGCGCGGCGCGGCTGGACTACCAGATGGCTCTCCGCGTAAATTACCAAATTTACCGCGTAAGTCAAGCATTTCAATTCTGGCAAGGCACCGCGAAAATGACCAAACGCGTAAACTAAAACCGCGTAAATCCAGACTCAACTGTACCCATTTTTATTCTCTCACTGATTACCACTAGAATGGTTATATTGCTTATCTGGGACTTTGATTAGCATTACAACAAAGTTCTTTTTAATATGTTATGACATTTAACCTCAGGCCTAAAAGGCTATCACTATTTTTAACTATATTTTTATTGGAGTATTTCTTTTTTCTACAAGGGAGTCCAATGCATTTATATTGTGCGGAAAATTAAATTTTCTGTGGATTCTGGGTAGATTACCTAAGTTGGCGTAGGTAGAAGTGGCTCCACCACCCTAGTTCCCAGCCTAATACACTCCCTGCCCAGAATGCTTATTTAATGGAAAGAAAGTTGGAGATACAGAAATACAGTACTCACTCTTATTAATTAAAGAACTACTACTATTTGGCACAATAAAGAGATAGGATCTTTTTTAATGTGAATATATAAATGTAATAGAACCAGTTCGTAAAAGCAAATACAGTATGCTATTAAGTTAAGCTTAACAGCTTAACAGAATATCCTAAAGCTTCTGTGTTGTCTATGTGCTCAAGACTAAGTACTGGGTGACATCATAATCTCCTTTGATTTACCTACAATTTTAACTTTGACAATACAGTATATATATATATATATATATATATATATATATATATATATATATATATATATATATATATATATATATATATATATATATATTATATAAGTACAGGTTGTACCTCTCTAGTCCGGCATTCTGTGGTCCGGAACGATTTTAGTTTGTCCAATAGGTAGATAGGCAGCTTTTTTTTTTTTTTTTACTTATCTGAATTATTATTATTATTATTACAGGAGTATTGCCCCTCAGGCC